CTCATACAGAAGTGAATCATACCAAAGTGACTCATACAGAAGTGACTTGTTCAGAAAGTCACATATAAAGCAACTTTTACACAAGAACAAAATGTCAGACCGTTTATCAGAACATTCACCTTTTTAACCTGACACTTCACAACATTAACATCCACTAATGTTCATCTCAGAGTGTGTGTTTAATTCATAGTGCATGAGTTTCAAGTCTTGTCCCAGTACAGTAATGCAGTATTAGAAAGAGGCATAGTACCATAACAGCTGCTTTGAAGGTGGTTAACGACATTATTGTTGCTCTTGATAAGAAGCAGTGCTGTGCAGTTCTCTTTGTCGATTTGTCAAAAGTATTTGATACTGTACACCATGAAATTCTGACAGCCAGGCTCAGGGACTGTGGGTTTTTTGGAACAAGCTGTTGCTTGGTTCACAAATTATCTCAGGAATAGGACACAATGTATTAAATATGATAATTTGTGTTCTGAAGTTGTGTAGATGAACAGATGCTGCAAAATATTCATCAATTAAAACGGATTCCTCATTTTTCTGGACTGAATAAAACGTGCATTGAATTTAATGAAATGCAAACGTGAGACGTCATTTATCTTTGACCCATCAAAATGAATGCGGTCATTTATTTACAGAATCAAAGTTTAACATCAAACATTTACATTAATTTGGCAAAATATGAAAATAACAACATAATCAATCAATCAGGAAAACCATACGGCCATGATTTTCCGTTGCTTCACCACAGACATTTATGAAAACTGTACAATTATGATCAATTATCCACACGGCGGTGGATGAGCACTTTACTCAGACATTTCTAAATTATCTGGAAGGATTTCTACTTGAGAGAAGAATTTAAAGATGGGAATGAAGTTTAAAGGGAGTAAAAGATGGTATGTGAGGGGAAGTGTTGACCAGAACCGACACTCTCCATCAGAACCCAGCTTTCCTCGGTACGCTTCGGTAGGAAACTTGACTCATTACCTTTCTGAAGATTAATCAGCAGATATGGAGGTCCAGTTAACGCTACCTGTCCAGCGTCTCCATAGGATGGCTGTGACTCATCCGAAGTAGTGACGAGATTCCGTCCGACACAAGCTCACCTCAGCAAGTGGAAAGTGTTATAATCCCATGAAACTCGGAAGAGCTCTGTGGTCATGTCAGGGTCTTCCCGGCTCCCAGCCAGACCCAACAGAACTTCACAGAACTGAGAACTGGGCAAATCCAGAACTGGCTCCCACAGCAACTGCACAGCACTAGGACATATCAGAACTCCTCCGCGCCGCCGAACTTCTCCAAACCCACAGAACTGAAGACCAGGAAGTACCGACATTTTTAAAGAGCTCTTTTCCCGGTTCATTTGGGAGTCTTCCCATTGGTCAGTACCGACCAGACAGGGGTGTGTTTTGTGACGTAAGAGGTTACTAGGAGTCAGAAAAAAGCGAGAATGTTATTGAACAGATTAAACTGTTCTCAGAGACAGAGAGAGTTTTGTTTTGGCGAGTTTTAGAAACAGGTGCCAGCTCTACGTCTGAGAGGATGTAAACAAGACAGTTGTTCCAACACATGTCTGCTTCGACTCCTGACCTTGGAAAACGCACACTTGCTCATTCAAAGACAGAAATCAGAAAATGCATAAAAATCTGTAACAGACCTTACCATGAATTCTAACTCTGCATAAGCATTAAAAAATCATTACACTGTTTCACAGTTAATAAAATTGATTAGTTCACTGCAACATCTATAATGGTTTGAACTAAGACACATTGATTATCAACATTTGTAAAATAGTAATGATAATAAAAAGAGAGTGTTCTTCCACTTGATTTTCAAGAAAGAAAGTCTCAGGATGGGTGAACCTGTATCTCTGGATTCAAATCAATGAAATGACAGTTCCTGTCCCACAAGGTTCTTAAGGTCAAGGGTTTTGACCTTAGGCTTAGTTTTGACATCAGGTTAAGTTCACTACAGTTGCAACGGTTCATAAGGGGGTACCGCAGGGATCTATATTAGGTCCCCTTCTATTCATAATTTATATAAATGAATTGGGACAGAATGTCTCTGATGGTAATTTGCACTTTTATGCAGACGACTGTTATTTATTGCACTGGATCAACTTGTCCTTAATACAGATAAAACTAAATGGATGTACTTTTCCAGATCCAGAGGTCCACAAAACATCCCCTCTGTGTTCTCTTGCAGTAGAAATGAAATAGAGCTGGTTCACACATATAAATATTTGGGCATTTTGATCCCCTCACTTTCAAACCCCATGTGGAAAGTCTTGTGAAAAGGCTTAAATTAAAGCTGGGCTTTTATTTTCTAAATCAGCTGTGTTTTTCATAAACTGCTAAAAAGTGACTTGTCTCTGCAACTGTCATGTGTGTGTTGGACTATGGAGATGTTTTGTACATGCCTGCTTCCTCACGATGTCTTCAGATGCTCGACTGTGTCTACCTCTCTGCTCCGAACTTCATTACAAACTGCAACACGTCAACACACTGTTGTGATTTACAGAATATTCACGGTGGATGACCTGCTCTGGCTGCCTGAAGGAACTCCCTCTGGTCAACTCTTATTAACAGGCACTGCTGGGACTCCTGCCGGACTACACTCGTCCTGCAGTTTCACTGAGAAACGTTGACTCTTAGACTTGTCACTCATGAGTTGCTGCTTCTTTCTGTCTCTTTTGCTCCGACTGAATTGTGTCAGAAGTTTCGTTCACGCTGCTCCGTCATCTTGAAACTTGCTACAAGAAACTCTGAGACTGACTGAATTCACCTCATTCAGCACGTTTACATCCAAACCAAAAGTTATTGAGGCCACTTCAATGACTTGTACCTGTTTTAATAGTTAGCTTGTTTTAGACCTGTTTTTATAACTTGACATTTTCTATAACTGTAATTTTTTGTCTTGTATTTGTTGCTGCCTCTTGGCCAGGACCCCCTTGAAAATGATGTTTTAATCTTAATGAGTTTTTATCCTGGTAAAATAAAAAATATCTGGTGACGGTCAGATGTCCCAGCTTTTCACCAGCCTTGAATGCAGCATTAACCAATCAGCACCAAATGGGTCAGGTTCTGACAGACCCAGAATTCCTTCAGAGTCTGCAGCTTGTCCATCTTCAGCGTCACAGAGACCTGCTGAGAGCTGGTCTACATGTCAGGGGGTGTCTCCTGGTGTCTCACTCATCGTCAGGTGATGCGTTCAGGTTCCAGGGTTTTGGTCCAGTACCGTCAGATAACTTGTTGTTTGCTGGTTTGTTTGGTTTCAGAGCCTGTTTCGAGGAGCTCCAGACAGACTACTTGTTCTGGTGGTTCTTCCTGGACTTCATCTCTGATGTCATCTATCTCATGGACATGGCCTTCAGAACCCGGACTGGTCAGCAGATGCATAACGTGCACTCTGCTGTGTTCGCTCTGACTCATGTCACTGATCGTAGCTGGTGTGTGTCTGCAGGTTACCTGGAGCAGGGGTTGCTGGTGAAGGATGAGCAGAACCTACGCGAGCGCTACACAAACACCTTTCAGTTCAAACTGGACCTGGTCTCCATGATCCCCACTGATGTCCTGTACCTGATCGTTGGGGTCACGTACCCTGAGGTCCGCCTCAACAAACTGCTGAGGTTCAACAGGTATGATTCTCCAGTACTCCTCAGCAGGCAGGACCAAAGCTAGAAACAAAGTATCATAAACTGGTGGAAACCAGAACCACACCTTCAGAGGAACGTCCCACGGTTATTTTACTGTCTTCAGTGCTACATCATCTGACACTGATCCATGTTGGTTCATCAGGTCACAGCAGAACTTTAAAGGGAGGATGGACCTAGCCTTAGACAGTGAAGGGGCTTCACCTCCTCCTTTGGAGGTTTATTGAGCATGTCCCACTGGGAGGACAGACCCAGAGCTCCGTGGATGGATCATTTGTCCTCTCTGCTGTGGGAACATCTTGGGAACCTCCAGGAGGAACTGGAGAGGGTCACTGGGAGAGGGATGTGTTTACCTCCTGGTCCTGGTATCTCCACAACCTCACTTTGGACAAGAGGCTGAAAATGGACGGTCAAAGAGACGGTGGATTTGGTGGACTCATTTGGCCCCATTTGGACCACATGAGGGACCTTCTGATGGGTTCAAACATCATATTTCTTTTCATTAGATCATAAATGTTTTTCAGGGCTGGTCATTGGTTGGAGGGTTGGTACAGTTCTCCACCTTCAGACCCAAAGTTCTGCCTGAGTGTCAGAACCTGAATCTTTCAGTATTTATGTCCTCGTTTGTTTCTTTTAGGACCAAACGTTAGACCTCCTGTCTTACTACCCCAGGTGCTGACTGTTCTTAAGGTTCGGACCGCTCACTCCAGTGTGTTTATTTCAGGATGATGGAGTTCTTCCAGCGGACCGAGACCAGAACTAACTATCCCAATGCCCTTCGTATCTCCAACCTGGTCATGTACATCATCATCATCATCCACTGGAACGCCTGCCTCTACTACTCCTTCTCCAAGGCCATTGGTGGGTCCAAGTGGACCTCTCTTCCCTCTGGACTTATAAAACCTGGACTTTAGTAACCCTCAGGGTCATAATGTGCTGGTTTGTCCTGTCCCCCCAGGTTTTGGTGCTGACCGGTTCGTGTACCCTGACCCGGCAGATCCGGAGTTTGGTCGTCTGGTGAGGAAGTACGCCTACAGCATGTACTGGTCCACGCTGACGCTCACCACCATCGGAGAAACTCCGCCCCCTGTGGAGAACTCCGAGTACTTCTTTGTTGTGACCGACTTCCTGGTGGGTGTGGCTTAGCGCCTGTGATGTCATCAGCCAGTCTCAGACATGAAGCTGTGAAGCATTAGGTCTTGATGATTCATCTTCAGGGTTTTTTTATTTCACTTTTATTTTGTCCTCCAGGTGGGTGTCCTGATTTTCGCCACCATCGTCGGTAACGTCGGCTCGATGATCACCAACATGAACGCTGCCAGAGCCGACTTCCAGTCTCGCATCGACGCCATCAAACAGTACATGAGCTTCAGAAAGGTCAGAGGAGCTGGTTCTGACGGCATGGCGGACAAACCCGACCTTCGCCGCAGCTCTAACCCCCTCTGACCTGTCTGCAGGTAACTAAGGACCTGGAGAAACGAGTCATCAAGTGGTTTGACTTCCTGTGGACCAACAAGAAGGCAGTGGACGAGAGGGAGGTGCTGAAGTTCCTCCCTGACAAGCTGAGGGCTGAGATCGCCATCAACGTGCACCTGGACACCCTGAAGAAGGTAAGAACTCACGCTAACCCCCAATCACCAGGACAGGAAGGACGACTTCTGCTGTGTGCTCCTGCAGGTCCGGATCTTTGCGGACTGTGAGGCCGGTCTGCTGGTGGAGCTGGTGCTGAAGCTGCAGCCTCAGGTCTTCAGTCCAGGAGACTACATCTGCAAGAAAGGGGACATCGGCAGAGAGATGTACATCATTAAGGAGGGGAAGCTGGCCGTGGTGGCTGACGATGGCGTCACGCAGTTTGTCATTCTCAGTGAGGGGAGCTACTTCGGTGAGATCAGCATCCTGGCCATCAAAGGTAGGAGGCCCCCTGGTGGATCGCCATGGCAACAACAAACGTTTGTTAAGGCTTAAAACACGGGCCTTAAGGTCCAGTACACAGAGTTCAGTGTTGCACCTGTTTTAGGAGCTGTTCAACAGTCAGCATCAGCAGAGAGAGAGGACGGCTGAGCTCGTTGCATCTGGAGCTCACAGCTGGTTCTTCTTGGACCTGATTCTCTGTTTCAGTCAGAACCACCTGGTTGAACTGAACCCTTCTGTCTGTAAAAACACACGATTCCAAACTTTAACGTTTGAGTTCCCCAACGGAACATTTTTCAGAGTTTCTCATGATGCTGTGGATGTTTGAAGCAGAAATGTTCTCCATAAACAGCTGAAGATGTTTTGATCTCAGCTGAACGTTCTAAACTATAAAGGAGAACATTTTAGAGCAACTTCGAAACTGAGTTCAGGATGTTTGATGAGCAGAACCAGAACTTCTTGGGGATGGTGATGTCAGCAGAGATGGGTTAGCCAAACATCTCAGAGTTCATTCTCCATCTGTGAGAGCTTCAGCAGAACTTCGGCTCGTTAGGGTCGTAAACACTTTGACTTCTCCTCCTTCAGGCAGTAAGGCAGGAAACAGGAGGACTGCCAACATCAGGAGCATCGGGTACTCGGACCTGTTCTGTCTGTCCAAAGACGACCTGATGGAGGCGCTGACCGAGTATCCTGATGCTAAAGCTCTGCTGGAGGAGAAGGGGAGGCAGATTCTGATGAAGGATGGCCTGCTGGACCTGGAGGTACGTTCACATATTTCTTATCAAGCAGGGCGCTAACGTCCAACCTGCTGTGGTTAAACCTCGACGCGTGTCCTCCTCCAGGTGGCGGCGCAGGGCCCGGACCCCAAGGACATGGAGGAGAAGGTGGACCGGATGACCGGCACCCTGGACTCCCTGCAGACCCAGTACGCCCGGCTGCTGGCAGAACACGACGCCACTCACAGCAAACTCAAACACCGAGTCACCAGGCTGGAGAGGAAGCTGGCCCCGCCCCCTCAGGCCCCGCCCCCCTCAACACCTGACACTCAAACCACCAAAGAAGAAGAAATGGGAAGAAAATGAAACGTTGAACTCAAATTTAAGTTTAAAATTTAAATAAAGTCCTGCCGGTGAGACGTTCAAGGACCGTCTGGCAACTGCAGTTCAGGCTGGAGTGGAAGAATCAGACTTTAATCTGCTCCCAGATGTTTTTATTGTATTAGAGCTGTAAAACTTTGTAATTTTATTAATTATTAAACAATAATCAGCCTGTTTGCTTCTTTAGTTTTCAGCTGGCAGCATGTTTGAAAATGTTTTAACATCATTTAAACAAACATCCGTCAGTCATAGAGCGAGCTTTAGTCGATATTTCACTGACAGAAACATTCAAATGTCTTTAATAATCTGATTCAAATAATAATCTTTTCAAAAACGCTCCGCCAAAGATCCTCATCCAGACGACGGAGCTGAAATAAAGAGGTTTTATAAGAAAAACACAAACTGTTCTTTTATTTTCTGTTTCTGCAGAAAGAACAAACAGAAACACCCAGAAAACACAAATCAGCACCAACACAGGTTTATCAATGAACTCTTTCACTTTAGTTACTATAAATCATGTTTGTTTCCATGTAAAGAGATTTAATAAACTTATTTTTCATAAACACTTCTGTCAAAGCCAGTGTTGTGATTTATGGATTTACAGCAGAAAATCATGAACGATCCAGAAACCCACTTTAATAAACTGAAAACTCTCCTGTTTGTCTTTTTTGTGTTCTTTAAATCACGTTTAGCTCTAAATATAATAAATATGATGATTTTTTGTCTAACTCTTCAAAAAACTATTTATACAACCAAGTTATTGTTAAAGGAACATTAAAACTTCACAGTAATTAAATATTCCTCGTCATGTTTGTGATGTGTGAATATTATATTAAATATTAAATACATATTAAATAAATATTAAATACATATTAAATAAATATTAAATAAATATTAAATACATATTAAATAAAGGCTGAATGGATGAATTTGACTGACACGTGGAGCTCACATAAAACACTCAAACCATCAATCAGAAAGTCAATGATCGAGTATTATTAGTGTATAATGATCAATATTATCTAATAAGTCCAGCTGTGTCTGTTTGTTGTAAAAAATAATTTTTTAAAGGATAAAAATAGTTTTTATTAATCATGCAGATAAATCCAGCCGCTCACTGACACGTCACGCTTCTGCCTCAGCGTGTTTTCAGTGATATTGTGGGAATTGTAGTTTCTACTCCTTTTAGTTTGACTATTCGAGAGGCTTAAAGAACTTCTTATCCCAGCATGCACTGCGGACTGCCGCGTATGACAATCAGGCATCGGAGTGTCTGCTCGGTCTGCTGAGGTCAGTTTAACTTCAAACTGCGGCTTAAGTCACTTATTATTTGTGTTTTAATCAAAACTGAAGAGTTAAAGAAGCACTCGTGGAGTTTATTATTATTTATAAGTTGTTATTTACAGGATGTGACGCGTTGTTTGCGTGTTTATCTGGGAGCTGTTAGCTCGGTTAGCCGGTTAGCTCTGTTTGAACTGAAGCTACTCTGAGGCTAAAGTCAGCTGAAGGAATCAGCTGAAGGACTTTCTTAATCACACAGAGCCACTTTATGTTTCTGTTTTTATCTGCAGCTGTAGTTTCATCAGAGAAAACAACCGAACTCGGGTCCATTTGAGCTCCATCACCTGGAGCATGCGCAGTGCTCCTTACTGAAAGCTTCCTGTTTAACCCCGCAGGCGGTTTGGGAGGTGGTTGCCATGGAGCCGGCCTGGCGACAGCAGGGCAGGGGGCGTGGCCGAGGTCAGGATGCTCAGGGTCAAAGGTCACGCCCCCTGCAGAAGGAGAGGCCGGCTGCTGCTGGACCAGGACCCAGGATGAAGACAAACTCGACTCCTGAACCTCTGCAGGGTGATGAAGAGCTCAGATTTTGGGTTTTATCAGCACCAGGTCCAGACCCGGTTCTAACACCCACCACTTTTTTTTTATGTCAGGAGAGTCCAGGTTCCAGGAGATCCAAAAGTCTAACCAGGCTGCTGCCAAGAGGCTGGTGGAGAACCACCATGTCAGCTCCTCTTCCTCTGATGAAGACAACGATGAGGATGATGATGGAGACCAGCAGAGAGGGAAGATCCTGGAGTCCACCTTCACCTCCTACACGGTCCAGACAGGTGAGGGTCACCTGAACACGAGGTTCTGACCCTGAACCAGATCAGGTTTTCACTGCCCTCTGTGTCCAGACGGAGACTCTTCGGGTCTGCTCAGAACCGGTCAGTACGTCAGCGACCTGTTCCAGTCCGGAGCGCTCACCTGTCTGATCTGCATCGCCTCCGTCAAGAGGACGCAGCCGGTCAGACACACACACAGAAACACACACCAAGCTTAAGCTGTTTTCTCGACCCGCTTCGTCCGATCCGGGTCAGGGAGCTGGTCCTGGACTTGAGAGGAGCCGGGACACAGTTTAATTCTGTTTCGTCTGTTGATAATTTATCTCAGTTAAAGTTAGTTGTATGTGTTATTTTTAGCAGGAACATGATTTATTTACAAGTAGATTTAAGTTAATAATTGAGTGGGATTCAGTAAAATATTTTCCATGTTTGCTGTGAAAACTTCACCTCAATAAAAACCTGGCGTCATATTTAACCGAGTTGCAGAGCAGCTGTTAGGACTACATTACCCATGAGCCTCAGCTGCTGCTGCTCTCGTGTGGAGAATCGTGTGTTTAATTAGATTTGAAGAGAAAAGTATTTTCGGTGACAGAAGCTCCGTCACTGTTTTCAGTTTGTAGCTGAACAGGATTCTGGGAGTTGTAGTCCACAGCTTCATGACTCCTCAGGAGGTTTCTTCCATGCACACGTAAACGGATTGTTCCGTAGATGTTCTCAGGAAATTGAGAGTCTGTCGTTAGTTTTGTAACCCTAACCCCTCAGACCCCGAGGACTCGGACCTGGACTCCTGTGGGTCAGAACCTGTGTTTGTGTTCAGGTGTGGAGCTGCTCCGGATGCTTCTCCCTCTTCCACCTGCCCTGCATTCAGAAATGGGCCAGAGACTCCGTCTTCCTCATCTCCTCCATCACTGATGAAGACTTCGGTCAGAAGCAGCACCCCTGGCCCTGGTGAGGAACTCAAGACGCTTTCTTTTAATTCAAACCCTTTTAGAGGAGCTTATGATGGTGGTCAGGAGAAGATGTGGAAACCTCTTGTCTACTTGTTGATGTTCCCTCTGAACCTCTTCAGGTGTTTGATTTATAAATGAAAGTAAAAAAAACTCTATTCTCTAAAAGTTGAATTAGTTTCAGGTCCAGATCTATGAACCGTCCACTTGTGTTCCTCTGATTGTTTCTGTTCTCCTCTCCTCAGCCCCAAGTGTCGGACAGAATATCCTCCCAGCTCCACGCCCAACAGGTACGTCTGCTGTCAACGCCGCAGATCAGAACTGAACCGGGTCAGAACATCTTCCTCCTCAGCTTCAGTTCACACTGATCTTCATCACTGAGGAGTGTAGTGGAGCAGTCCGGTGTAACCGGACCTGAACCTTAAAGTTCTGTAAAGACTGCGTTCCTTCAGAGGTTCAGATGTTCAGGACTAAATGTCCAGCAGCTGGTTCACCTGAAACTTCTGTTTGGTTGTGTTCATGGTGTTGGCTCTGTGTTGCCTTCAGGTACATGTGTTACTGTGGGAAACTGCAGGATCCTCCAGCTGATCCATGGCTGGTTCCTCACTCCTGTGGCTCTGTGTGTCAAAAGGAGCTCAAACCTGTCTGTGGACACACCTGTCTGCTGCTCTGTCACCCTGGTAACCACACACACACACACCTGCTGGTGCGATTGTTTTAGGACTTTAGATTATCAGATGATGTCACAGATTATTGTCACAAAGGTGTGATGCGTCACCTGTATGATCCTGTGTGTGTTTGTTTGTTTTCAGGTCCCTGCCCCCCGTGTCCAAAGATGGTGTCAGTGTCCTGCATGTGTGGTAAAGCTAAGCCCCTCCCCCGTCGCTGCAGCAACAAGGTACACACCTGCACCGCAGGACGGTTTCACCTCCGTCCGGTCCGGTCCGTTGGTGTCGAGGACACTCGGTCGTTTTCATCAGGATGGAGGGAAACTCCCACCTGATGACATGTAATAATGAAACGGGTCCTGTCAGAACCCTCCTGTGAGTCGGGGGGGGGGGGGGGGGGGGGCTGGAAAACGACAGGATGCTAATGGGAGGAGTCCAGTGGGGGGGGTTCACTCACCCTCCACTCTACACAGACTAATTAACATGCAGCGTTACTAATTATACACCTGGACTCCAGTCAGGTTTATTAAACTTCACATGTTAAGAGTTACAGCATTGACTGACCTCAGGGTTTCTGAGTGGTCAGCATCTTACCTGCACAGCATGATGTTGGGGCTGTGTAAAGTCTGTAGGTTTAAGGAGGAACTTAAGGTTTAAAACTGTCAGATTTTAAAGATTCAAGAGTTAATTTAGTCTAAAACTGAAGAACGTTTTAGGGTCAAGTCTTAGTTTAATTAAACAAAAAATATAAATCTTTGTTGACCAAAACACTACAGAATTTACAGTACAAAGTACTGTACAAAGTACTTTACAAAACACTTTACAGACTTTACAGTGCAAAGTACTGTACAAAGTACTTTACAAAACACTTTACAGTACAACATACTGTACACAGTACTTTACAAAACACTTTACAGTACAACATACTGTACACAATACTTTACAAAACACTTTACAGTACAACATACTGTACAAAGTACTTTACGAAACACTTAACAGTACAAAGTACTGTACAAAGTACTTTACAAAACACTTTACAGACTGTACTGTACAAAGTACTGTACAAAGTACTTTACAAAACACTTTACAGACTTTACAGTACAAAGTACTTTACAAAACACTTTACAGACTTTACAGTACAAAGTACTTTACAAAACACTTTACAGTACAACATACTGTACAAAGTACTTTACAAAACACTTAACAGACTTTACAGTACAAAGTACTTTACAAAACACTTTACAGACTTTACAGTACAAAGTACTGTACAATTACTTTACAAAACACTTTACAGACTTTACAGTACAACATACTGTACAAAGTACTTTACAAAACACTTTACCGACTTTACAGTACAAAGTACTTTACAAAACACTTTACAGACTGTATTGTACAAAGTACTGTACAAAGTACTTTACAAAACACTTTACAGACTGTACTGTACAAAGTACTGTACAAAGTACTTTACAAAAAACTTTACAGACTGTACTGTACAAAGTACTTTATAAAACACTTTACAGACTTTACAGTACAAAGTACTGTACAAAGTACTTTATAAAACACTTTACAGACTGTACTGTACAAAGTACTGTACAAAGTACTTTACAAAACACTTTACAGACTGTACTGTACAAAGTACTTTACAAAACACTTTACAGACTTTACAGTACAAAGTACTGTACAAAGTACTTTACAAAACACTTTACAGACTTTACAGTACAACATACTGTACAAAGTACTTTACAAAACAGTTAACATACTTTACAGTACAACATACTGTACAAAGTACTTTACAAAACACTTTACAGACTTTACAGTACAAAGTACTTTACAAAACACTTTACAGACTTTACAGTACAAAGTACTGTACAAATTACTTTGCAAAACACTTTACAGACTGTATTGTACAAAGTACTGTACAAAGTACTTTACAAAACACTTTACAGACTGTACTGTACAAAGTACTTTACAAAACACTTTACAGACTGTACTGTACAAAGTACTTTACAAAACACTTAACAGACTTTACAGTACAAAGTACTGTACAAATTACTTTGCAAAACACTTTACAGACTGTATTGTACAAAGTACTTTACAAAACACGTTATAGACTTTACAGTACAAAGTACTTTACAAAACACTTTACAGACTTTACAGTACAAAGTACTGTACAAAGTACTTTACAAAACACTTTACAGTACAACATACTGTACACAGTACTTTATAAAACACTTTACAGTACAACATACTGTACAAAGTACTTTACAAAACACTTTACAGTACAACATACTGTACAAAGTACTTTACAAAACACTTTACAGTACAACATACTGTACAAAGTACTTTACAAAACACTTTACAGTATAAAGTACTTTACAAAAAACTTTACAGTATAAAGTACTTTACAAAACACTTAACAGTACAAAGTACTGTACAAAGTACTTTACAAAACACTTTACAGACTGTACTGTACAAAGTACTGTACAAAGTACTTTACAAAACACTTTACAGACTTTACAGTACAAAATACTTTACAAAACACTTTACAGACTTTACAGTACAAAGTACTTTACAAAACACTTTACAGACTTTACAGTACAAAGTACTTTACAAAACACTTTACCGAATTTACAGTACAACATACTGTACAAAGTACTTTACAAAACACTTTACAGAGAGTGAGCTACAAACAAACAGAAAGACCCTAAAATAGAAACACTGGTAACTGTCAGTGAAGGAGCTGAGGTAAAGTCAGGTGCGTCTCACACGATGACTCTTTAACATTCAGAACTCGCTGGTTCCAACTGGCAGCGGGTTCTTCTGGACTGGGCTGAATAATTTAATATTTCAATTAGTTTTATTGTTGTCATGTGGACTTTCATCAGTCCTCAGTCCTCTTGTTTGATCTGACTTCAGGTAAACACTGACCGCTCGCAGTTTCTCCACACAACCCCCTTCAGAAGAAAGCTGAACTGTCCTTTTAATGATGTAACCTGAAGTGTGTGTGTGTGTTTCCAGCCGTGGTCGTGTCAGCAGTTGTGTGGGAAGCTGTTGTCCTGTAAACAACACACCTGTTCCCAGCCGTGTCACACAGGTACACACCTCAGCTTCTCTCCACCAGGTAACCCCTCCCTACTGTGGACCTCTGCATTCATGTGTGTGTGTGTGTGTGTGTGTGTGTGTGTGTCAGAGTGCTCCCCCTGTCCCAGGGTCAGCGTTCAGAGCTGTGTGTGTGGTCTACAGGAAGCACAGAGGCCGTGTGCCAGCCCCCGCTGGAACTGTTCTCAGGTAAACCCTCCTGGACCCCTGACAGACCCCAGACCTGGACCGGTTCTGTCAGGAGGTTCTGCTCCTCATGTTGGCTCTGGAGAAGGACTATCTGTCCGTTTGCTCTTTAAACTCACAACACGAACACGTAAACAGACGGATGTTAAACTTGTCAGACCAAAACCGGTTGCAATGGACTGGTGGTTTTGACCAGGAGGCTGAGCCGGGTTCAGGTTCTGTTCAGCAGCTTTCTGTTTGGATCCATGAAGCTGGAGGTCTGACAGAGGTCTGAACAGAAATGACTGAGACCAACGTCTGAGTCTGGAGGGTCGCCTGGACCTTTGGCTGTTGGACGCAATTTAATTTGTTTTAACTTAGAATTAATGTCCAAACATCCAGATTATTAAAAATATTAAAACAGATTTAATATGAATT